TCTCATCTGACGTGGAAGTTTTAGGTGTTCCCATCCACCTTTGGACATTCCTAAACATCCCACTGTAGTGACTATAATATAAAAAAATTAAACAGGGTGAGACTTCACTGGTACTGAACTGGTGTACAGGGATTTCACCACTGGAGTCTTCACAAAATGTAATAAACTGTTAGGGTAGGTTCAAACCACAGCAAGTGTCAGTGCATGTGTTGGCATCTACTACTGAATTGCACTGCAGTGCCTCTTTTGTGTGCTGTGCATTGTGTTTTTATGTGGGCTTCCCTGCAGAATTTTTTTTTTGGACACATTACAAACCAAGGCTTTTTGCCTTGTCAATGCTCTTGGACATTGTTGACCAATGCATGTGACATGAACAAGCCCTTAGATGGTTTAGTTGTCCAGTAACTACAAAAAAAAAGAAATATTGGTTTTGGGTGGACTGAACCTTTGGACTTGGGTGGACTGACATTTAAAATGTAAATAGTGCTTAGCAGCATTCTTTTTAAGGTATCAAATTTCTGATCACTAGAGGGAGGTGTATTTGGCCTGTGCACATAGGGGTCATCTGGCTGTATTCACACGTGACGATTTGGAATCAGGGGCAAAATCGCCATGATTCCACACGAGAATCCAAAACGCACTACAATCATGGCAAAATGTACCATGCGTGCTTGAGTTCCATTCATTCTTAATGGAACTCCAAATGTGATGCGATTCTGCTGTGACTGTCATGTGGCAAAACACATTGCGCAAAGCTTGTCACACAAAGAAGAGCAGGAGCTTCTCTTAGGAGACAGCTACACACGACTAATTTTGCTGCGATTGTCGAGCAATTCTTTTGGATGACAATCACGGCAAAATTGCACCATGTTTGGAGTACGATTAAGAATAAATGGCACCCAAATCCACGCAGTGCGTTTTGCCACGACTGTAGTATGATTCAAAATTTCTAAGTGTGAAATGCAGCCTCAGATGGCTATTTCAAGGCCTTGTTTCCCTCTATGAGTGTTCAGAACAAAACACATATTTCCTGAGCTAGACTAAAAGAGAATTTCATCTAATAAAGTGCCCTTCCTATGTTACATCAGTACCAAGGACACCGACCCGTAAGGCTTCAATTTTAAACCTTGTTAGTAAAATAATTTTTTAATTAATCCTAAATGAATTTATATCACATCATACTGTCTTGTCTTGTATTGTACTGATAAAAAAAACACACAGAGTGTTTAGCTGTAACTGAAAACAGCAAAACAAATAAAAATGACAGAAACAATGAAAAGATTAGTGTGCCTGTGAGTTGCTTACATTACAAGCAGTAGTAAAGTAGTATCATAGTTATCACGGAAAACTGGTGGCTTTTTAACCTTCTATGTGCTTTCTGGGTTTCAGAACACTGTTCTGACATTATACTGACCTAGAATCCTTTTACTCAGGTCTAGTAGTCACTAGCACCCACATAAAAAAATAAATAAATAAATAATGACATTCAGCCAAAACCTATGGCAAGTATGGTGTTGCAGTGAAAGGGTTAAAACAATAAGAGCAGACCCCTGTACCGCATAGCGGCCAACACAGCAATGCAGTGGAATGTGGAGCCCAGCCCTTTGGTGCTGAAAGTGTTAAGTGCATTTTGAATTCTGTACAGATTTTCAAGGCTTATTAGAAGTGAGTGCTCCCACCGTAGTAATAATACATAGCATTTCTGTCCAGCACTGCGCAGGTTAAACGTCCTCCACAGTTAGGTCACATTGTGCGTTAGCAGCTGGCCTAGGAAGGATCATCTATTTATGAATGAGAACAAGAGGCCAGGAATAATTGAAGACTTGTCTTGTTCCATCCCATGCTGCTTCTTTGAATGTGGCATCTACATATTGCACAGTACAGAGAGAACATTAGCAGGCAGATAATGCAGCTGCCAAACTGTTTACATTGAAAAGCTAATCCCAGAGCAGATGACCCAAAAAAAAAAGACAAAGCTTAAATGACACAAGCATCAGGAATTACAAAATAAGTTACTGGTTCATGTCCCATCCTTTCATTTGCAATATCCTAACTAAATGGAACTATTAATGCCCCTTTGGGGTTTGCACACAATTAAAGATGCATCCACTCTTCTGGAGATACAGCCATCCTAGAAAGTGCTTATTCAAGGGATTCAGCTGTGGGCTGGCAGCATTATGGAAAAGACTGCAGAATTGCCATGCTGTGATGCATTTTTTTTTTTCACCGGGAAAACAAAGCTCCAATATTAAAAGAAAAAGACATGTAAAGTGTGTCTTTGGGATCAGCTATGTGCAAAGGTTATACAACCCAATCCATATGAGCTAGGGCGCTATAGATAAGCCAACTTTATCTCATATCTCTTGTAGATGTGCAAATGTGGCAACAGTATTACGCAACAGATTAAACCTGCAGAAGATCAGAGGACCAGACAAGTACAGCTGCCTGGAACGCACGCATTTAATACAATAAACGGGCAATGGTGCACGGAACAGCAGTAAATCAGGGCAACCAACCGCTAATGGACTTCCAGTAGTCTGCCCAATCAAAGCTGGTTGCTATGGGTTACTGTACATGATTGCTTATGCACTGAATTATTAACCAGCCCAGATATACAAGAGGTAGCATTCTGGTACATGAAATCTAAAAGTCATCTCTGCCAACAAATTATTAATACTCATTTCATAGAGGGCTAAAAGGCTAAACGACAACAGAGAGCATTTTTTCCATTTGTTGAATAAGTGAGGAGTGAATGCATCTTTAAATAATTTAGTTCTAACCTATCCTAAGTCTGCCGGGGTGCAACCACTTCTGACATAGTACCACGGACACAGGGCTACATCATGTTATTCTATTGACAATCACAAACAATAATAAATAAATATGGCTGGTGGTCTCTTCTAAACTGATGCATAATAAGGGTTTCAAAATCAGTAGTTGGGTCTGTTAATACAAGACAATAGCAGCCAGCTTATGAATTCAATAAATCTAATTATGGAAACCCTTAACGATTTTCAACAGAGACCTCCTCTCCAACGTCTATTGCACAAGGTAATGCCCTTCTAGAAGCCATTCTCAACCAGAATCTTACTGAACTGTAGGGCTCCTCCAGAGGTTGTTGGGAGTTCCTGGAGCAGTGACTGACTGCAATCCCATGTGATGGGGCCTGCACAGTTCCAGAGCCAACAACATCTGGCAGAGCCAGCTACATGACCCCAATGATCTTTTTAGTTGTCTTGAAAGCTGGCCATATATACCACTAAAATTTAGTTTTTCAGAATGTTCCTTCAGATTTCTATACATGCCATACATGGATTGAAGTTCAGCCAGTTCAGAAGGGACCGGACGAATTTCAATCCATGTATGGGCAGGGTGGTTGTACAGAAGTTGATCTACTTCTGTACAACCAGCCTGACATTTTTTTTTTTGATCCATCAGTGCCACTGGCTATAGCCAATTACTGTAAAGGTTTCATTCTCCCTAATGACCTCCAATGTAAGAGGCATTATTCCCATTGACCCCCAATAAACTGGTTTCCTATTTACCCCCAATGAACTGGTTTTCCCATTGACCATCGATGAATTGGTTTTCCCAGTGACCCTCTATAAATTGGTTTTCCTATTGACCCCAAAAGATTTTTTTTCTGTTAACCCCTGATGAATTTGTTTTCCCATTAACCTCCAATTAATTTGTTTTCCCATTGACCCCCGATGAATTGATTTTCCAATTGACCTCCAATTAAATGGTTTTACCCATATACCCCTGAAGAAACTGTTCTTCCTACTGACCCCCAATGAACTGATTTTCCAATTGACCTCCAATTAAATGGTTTTACCTATAGACTCCCGAAGAATTGGTTTTCCTATTGACCCCCAATGAATTGATTTTCCAGTTGACCCCCAATGAAATGGTTTTACCCATAGACTCCTAAAGAATTGGTTTTCTCATTGCCCCGCGATAAATGGGTTTTCCTATTGAGCCCCAATGAATTAATTTTTCAGTTAACCCCCGATAAATTGTTTTCCTATTGTCCCTCAATGAATTGGTTTTCCTATTGACCCCCAATGAATTGATTTTCCAACTGACCTCCAATTAAATGGTTTTACCTATAGACCCCTGAAGAATTGGTTTTCCTATTGATCCCCAATTAATTGATTTTCCAATTGACCCCCAATGAAATGGTTTTACCCATAGACTCCTGAAGAATTGGATTTCTCATTGACCCACGGTAAATGGGTTTTTCTATTGAGCCCCAATGAATTTTTCAGTTAACCCCCGATAAATTGCTTTCCTATTGTCCCTCAATGAATTGGTTTTCCTATTGACCCGATTAATTGGTTTTCCTATTGACCCCTGATGAATCGGTTTTCCTACTGACCCCCTAAAAATTGATTTTCCTATTTACCCCCAATGAAATGGAACTGGTTTTCTAATTGAACTTGGTTTTCCTATTGAGCCTCAGTGAATTAATTTTTCAGTAAGCCCTGGATGAAATGGTTTTCCCATTGACTCCCGATGAACTGATTTTCCAGTTGACCCCCAATGAAATTGGTTTTCCTATTGAGTCCTAATTAATTTTTCAGTGAACCCCTGATGCACTGGCTTTCCCACTGACCCCTGATGAATTAATTTTTCATTTAACCCTCGATAATTAGTTTTTTGGTCGGGTTCGCATAGACCTGCAAATGATTTTAGGGGTAGGATGGTTGAGAAAGACTGCCTTACTAAGAAGCCCGGTGGATGAGCACACGCCTCGCATTGCACCCCGGCAGGACTCAGCACCCTAGTTTAGTCCTGCTTGTTTCTGGCCAGTCCTTTCAGGTACTTTCTCACTACAAAGCCCAGACATACAGTCAGAAGCACCATGTAGCCGATGGTCCCCTGCACAGTAGGGGAGGTGTGTGGAGCCTTGAGGAACTGTTCTAAGCCTTGCTCCACATAGTGCATTTGATCATAAATACTAAGGAAGGTGAAGATGTGGAAGAGCTGGTGGCTGTGTCCTATAATGTCAAACAGGCCAGGATGGATCCTCTCCGGGATCTTACTGACATTGAAGAAGGCGGCCACCAGCAGCCAGAAGTATCTCCGGTAAAAGTAAAGGAAGAGAGTGGGGTTCTCCCCCCCAGGTCGAAGAGCATGCTCTCGATCATCACCGGACAGGCCATGCTGAGCGGCATGGCGAAGACGAAGGTACGGATGGCAAAGGGGTACGAGCAGTCCTCCGAGCGGCTCTTGCAGCACGCCACGGTGCACGTCACCGCCAGGACGAAGGCCACCGGCAGCACCAGCTCGCTGTACAGCCCCATCAGCATGCTGTAGTCCACCCGGTGCCAGCCCAGGCTCTGCAGGTACGGGGTCATGACGCTGGGGTCGAGCAGGCTGAGCCGGGGCAGCAGGTAGTACGAGTAAGCCACGGTGCTGGCGAAGCCGTAGTAGCTGATGGAGGCATAGTCCAGGAAGAAGAAGGCGGCACGCAGGCGCAGGGAGCGGCAGCTGAACACATGGGCTGTGCAACTCATGGCAAATGTCAGCAGCACTCCGGAGGCGTAGCACCACAGCGGCAGCAGCGCCGGGTGGGTGAAGGGCAGCTCGCTGGACAGGAAGAACAGCTGGCAGAACTTACTGACGAACAGAACCAGCGGGATGAAATGGGTCCAGAAATTCAGGGTCTCGTTGGTGGGCTGGAAGATGGAGGCCAGGCACTCCTGTGCGGTCAGATGCAGCCTCCTGTACCCGGAGAGGATGAAGCACTCCACGAAATCATCCGGCACCTCGTCCCAGCGCAGGAGGGACGACGGCTCCCTGTCCCGGGAGAAGCTCCGCAGGGGCATCATCGGGGTGCTGCTGGGGGGGGCCCGGTGCCCGCTCTAGGGGGGGGGGGGGGGGGGCTGCAGGCTCCGATCCTGCTCGCCGAGCTGCCAGCACAGCTCTGCTCCTTCAGCATCAATGCAGCACAAGCTCACTCCGCTAATGCACTGCCTGCACTGCTCAGCATCGCGGTAATTCAAAGCCCGGAGGATTTCATCCTCTGGATATCATCGCACACAGCTCTTTAGCCTGCTGAGCCCCCCTCCCCTCCACACCCTCCCCTGGATCTGTCAATGGATCACCTCCACTCTCAGCCTGCAGAGAATGGAGGGGGGGGGGGGGGGGTCCTGACCTTCAAGGCTCTGACAGATGACAGGGAGACACCAACAATGGGGACTGGGATGGATGGCAGCACTCCCACCTCTGGGACAACCGATAGCTAGCATTGAATGAACATCCTGAAATTCAAAGCACTCTGCAAGAGATGAGGATGATAGGGTTTCCTGCTAGAGACAGACGTGGGGTCACCACCTACTACTGTTACACCTCCATCCACTTTCATTCCACTTATATTACTACCCCATGGAGAATATTGCCTACCCCAATGACAGTGACCCTCAGAGAGAAACAGAGCTGCCTTTTCTGCTGGCACAGGGTGCTTATACATAATAAATGTAAATTATGGACTGCTAGTTCATATGGATAACCCACTGATCATAGAATCAATGAATATGGATAACCGACTGATCATAGAATCATAATAAATGTAAATTATGGACTGCTAGTACGTATAGATACCCGACTGATCATAGAATCATAATAAATGTAAATTATGGACTGCTAGTACGTATGGATAACTGACTGATCTTAGAATTATAATAAATATGGATAACCGACTGATCATAGAATCATAATAAATTTAAATTATGGACTGCTAGTACGTATGGATAACCAACTGATCATAGAATCATAATAAATGTAAATTATGGACTGCTAGTACGTATGGATAACTGACTGATCATAGAATTATAATAAATATGGATAACCGACTGATCATAGAATCATAATAAATGTAAATTATGGACTGCTAGTACGTATAGATACCCGACTGATCATAGAATCATAATAAATGTAAATTATGGACTGCTAGTACGTATGGATAACTGACTGATCATAGAATTATAATAAATATGGATAACCGACTGATCATAGAATCATAATAAATGTAAATTATGGACTGCTAGTACGTATGGATAACCGACTGATCATAGGCTGCTAACAATTTCAGTATATAGACTGATCTTAGAACGATAATACATTTAGGTTATAGACTGCTATGACATATGGATAATCGACTGATCTTAGACAGCTAATGATTTCAATGTATAGACTGATCTTAGAACGATAATACATTTAGGTTATAGAATGCTAGTAGGTATGGATAATCGACTGATCATAGGCTGCTAATGATTTCAGTGTATAGATTGATCTTAGAACGATAATACATTTAGGTTATAGGCTGATTATAGACTGCTAGCACATATGGATAACCGACTGATCATAGGCTGCTAATGATTTCAGTGTATAGACTGATCTTAGAACGATAACACATTTAGATTATAGACTGACTGCTAGTAGGTATGGATAATCAACTGATCATAGGCTGCTAATGATTTCAGTGTATAGATTGATCTTAGAACAATAATACATTTAGGTTATAGACTGCTAGTAGGTATGGATAATCAACTGATCATAGGCTGCTAATGATTTCAATGTATAGACTGACTTTAAAATGATAATACATTTGGATTAGAGACTGATTTTAGAATCATAATAAATGTAAATTATGGACTGTTAGCGCTTACGGATAATCGACTGATCATAGACTGCTGATGATTTCAGATTATAGACTGATCATAGAATGATAACACATCTAGATTATTGACTCATTATAAACTGATAATACATATAGATAATCAACTGATCACAGACTGTTAATGTTTTCAGTTTATAGACTAATCATAGAATGATAATACATATAGATTGTAGACTAATCATAGAATGATAACATATCTAGATTATAGACTGATCATAGAATGATAATATCTAGATTATTGATCAATCATAGAATGATAACATACCTAGATTACAGACCGATCATGGAATAATAATATATCTAGATTATAGACCGATCATAAAATGATAACATATCTAGATTATAGACTAATCATGGAATGATAATATATCTAGATTATTGACTGATTATAGACTGATAATACATATAGATAATCAACTGATCACAGACTGCTAATGATTTCAGTTGATAGACTAATCATAGAATGATAATTCACCTAGATTATAGACTGATCATAGGATGATAACACATTTAGATTATAGACTGTTCATAGAATGATAATACATCTAGATTATTGACTGATTATAGACTGATAATACATCTAGATTATTGACTGATCATAGACTGATAATATGTTTAGCTAATCAACTAATCATAGACTGCTAATGATTTCAGATTATAGACTGATCATAAAATGATCATACATTTAGATTATAGACTGATCATAAACTGCTAATGTTTTCAGATTAGAGAGTGATCATAAAATGATCATACATTTAGATTATAGACTGATCATAAACCGCTAATGGTATCAGATTAGAGAGTGATCATACAATGATAACATTAAGATTATAGACTGATTATAGATTGTTAATACATTTAGCTAATCAACTGATCATAGACTGTTAATGATATCAGATTATAGACTGATTATAGAATGATAATACTTTTGGAATATAGACTGACCATAGACTACTAATAGATTTCAGTTATCAACTGATCATAGGCTACTAATGATTTCAGATTATAGACAGATCATGGACTGCTAATACATTTAGATTATAGACTGATGAGAGACTGATAGTACATTTGGATTATAGTATGATTATAAAATGCTAATTATTTTAGATTATAATCTGATCATAGAAAGCTAATGATTTTAGGTTATAAATTGATTATAGAATGCTAATTATTTTAGGTTGTAGATGATGATAGAAATAGAAATCTAATCATTTTAGATTATAGACTGCTTTACAGACTGATTATAGGCTGCTAATGTTTTCTGCTTTCCATAGTCTGTACATTTCAATACCTATTGAATTGAACTGTCAGACATCAATCTAGCTATGGAAACATCACAGTGCAATGATCAAACATCACGATTGTACTGGCCCCCTCATTCTTTACATACTGGCATTGCTGCATCAAATCTTGTGCTAAGCTCTTTGCATAGGATTAGATTTCATGTTTCAAGGTCAAGCTTAGGACAGATGGAGCAGACATTTTGATTGTTTTAAACCATTTTGGTAATAAAATCACCTTGTGACTTGGAAAATGACAGCACTGCTTTAGTGTTTAGGTACTGTAACCATTGCACACTGTAGTTTTGGAGCATTATCTGATTTATGGACAGAATGTTCTATAAAGAAAAGCTTTGGGTACTGTGCCTCCACCAGTGCATTCTGGGAACTCCTTTATGCCCAATCTTCCTGTATACTTAAAGTGAGTGTAAAGCCTCTTTTTATTATTATAGTAAAGAAGATGTTAGACTTACCTGCTCTGTGCAATTGTATTGAGCAAAGCAGTCCCTTACTTTCTATTCTAGAGTCCGCTGCTGTCACTGGTTACTCCTTTTTCCTGCAGGTGTCCCTATAGCAAACCATATGCTATGAGATACCTGTGCAGACATGTTCCTGAGCCGAGCTGTGTTCATCCATAGACACACACAGCTCCAGTAAGCCCCATCCCTTGCTCTGAGTCTCCTGTAATACCAGGAAGTGAAGGGAGACCTGCAGAGAGGACAGCGCTGGATCACTGACAGGACCCAGGTAAGCCTTTAAGTGTTGGGGGGGGGGGGAGCAGTGAGTGGGTGAGTGCTCCTCCACCGTCCAGCATGTATGCTCACCTTACAGGTGGACCCATAAGTTGTACAGGTCAAATGCACTTTGTGATTAGATCAATCCCCAGATAGATTTGGATATTCCACAGGTCCCATTCAGGCATGTAACAATCCTAGACAGAGACTGGGTAGAGTAAGATCGTGACTTCTGCCCGCAACTCGAAATGACGTCACCACGCTTCCGTCCTATGTGTTGCGTCACCAATCATGTGACTTCAGCAGGGATGGGAAGCAGGTGACACACAGCTCTCACATATGCGGAAACAATGAACTATGTAACCAGAAAAGGACTAATCAGATAATAGTGGCCATGATGTTGAAGACCAGCATAACACATGAAAGCCCAGCTAGCTCAAAAATGAAACATAATGAATACAAGCTGGCTGAGCTTCTATGTATTGTGGACGCCATAATTTGATTAGTCCTTTTTGGTCACATGGTTCATTGTATTCCCATATGTGAGAGCTGTGTGTCACCTGCTTCACATCCCTGATGAAGTCACGTGATGCAACGTGTAGGACTGAAGTGTGGTGACGTCATTTCCAGTTGTGGGCAGAAGCTGCCATCTTACTGTACCCAGTTTCTCTTTTAAATGCCTGAATGGGTTCTGTGAACCCCTTTTAAAGTTGTGATTTTTATTTGTTCCTTTTATATACTGAAGACTTATTCACTATGAGAAGTCTTCTTTTCCTTTCTTTTTGATTACATATCCACTGAAGTGATATCACAAGAGATTG